AAGATCACTGCAAACCAGAATCCAATTTTGACCTCCAGGGATTACCCTGGAGCTTTGCAACAGGCAGGGCAATACTGCGTTGTCTCCTCATTATGCTGAATGACTTTCAGATGCTAGGCTGTGCACATATGTTTTCTGAAGATGTACATATGGCCCGTTGCTAATCTACATAAAACATGAATGTGAGGCTTGAACGTTAGATTGTTTGTTGTTCAAAAGCAAATATGGCTAGTGTATTTTTCAAATGTAACCCATTGGATTCTTAGATGTTGTCCCTCTTGGGCATTTTGGCCACTGAAGAATGAGGCAAGTTTTAATCCATGTCTTACAGCAAAAATGAAAGAGCTTTCCATGTACCCTGTGTATTGATGCATAAGTCGAGAAATTTTAGTGAAAAAATCAGCCTCCAAAACAAAAAAAAATGTCAAGTCTATTTTCCCCTAACTCCATCAGTACTCACATTTGAGCATATTGAGTATTTGTGCCAAGTTTGGTCCAGATCCATCATTATTTGAGTCCACAGTGCTTTTGGATGTAAATGAACTACAACTCCAAAACTCAAGGTCAATGCCACCAAACCCTTCCAGTATTTTCTGTTGGTCATGGGAGTTGTGTGTGCCAAGTTTGGTTCAATTCCATTGTTGGTAGAGTTCAGAATGCTCTTTGATTATAGGTTAACTGCAAATCCCAGCAACTACAACTCCCAAATGACAAAATCAATTCCCACCCCACCAGTATTCAAATTTGGGCGTATGGGGTATTTGTGCCAAATTACACACATCCTGCATATCAGATATTTACATTACAATTCGTAACAGTTGCAAAATTACAGTTATGAAGTAGCAATAAAAATAATTTTATGGTTGGGGATCACCACAACATAAGGAACTGTATTAACGGGTTGTGGCATTAGGAAGGTTGAGAACCACTGATTTAGCTCCTTCAGAGGTCAGACTGCGATGCCCATCATGTCCTACCAATGGCTTTGGTGGCTAAAAGATGGCTGGAGCTACAGTCTAGCAACAGCTTTTCCCACTACTGGTTTAGAACATCTAAACTCATCCAAAGGCTAGTTCTGGTCCAAAGGTAGTTCAGCAGTGCATCTGAAGATAAATCAACACTTGTGTGAAGCAAATGGAGGAATGCCAGTGAAATATCTTTAAACACTTGCAAAAGTGAGATCCCACTGCATGAAAGCAGAGAGAAAGAAAGGAAAATGTACAAAGACCCCTTTTATCACTGCAAGATAACAGAAGATAATTTACTGCCGTTACCTGCTATTGGGTATTATAGGCACATAAGATTGCACAGCAGTTGCTAGGAGACCAGCTATCTATAGCTTTCTTCTTTTTCAGATGTAAAATAATTAATGGGGATAGTTTCAAGTTTACTCCCCAATTAGTGGCATGCTATTTCTCTGAAGAACTGAAGCATCTGCACATATGACCAAAAGCAAGGCAAGCAACAATACAGAAGCCTAGCAACCATTTCAGGTACTGAAAACATATCTCCTCTGTGGGTTGGGTGGATTTGTTTGCTTAACCTTTTATCTGAACCTTAAAAGAATGATCAGCGGGGACAGAGAAGGTCCAAAGAAAGTCTGCACTCCAAGAAAACCTTAAGAACAGAGGACTTTCCCCTTTATAAACCTCATAATCAGTACCATCTCACCGATGGGTGCCCTGGAAAAAAATATTTATAGCATAAGCAAGCTATTATGGCTGATACCCATATATGTTAACAAAACAAGATGCCTTTTCTTTTCTTATGAGGATCACATTTTAAGCAGATGTCATAAATATGGCCTCAAACCCAGCAGGAGTTTTAAAATATTTCCTCTATACTGCACAATGGGTTAAACTACTGAGCTGCTGAACTTGCTGACCAAAAGGTTGGCGGTTCGAATCTGGGGAGCAGAGTGAGCTCCCACTGTTAGCTCCAGCTTCTGCCAACCTCCCAGTGCGAAAACATGCAATGTAAGCAGCACTTCTGAAGGAAGGTAACAGCGCTCAATGCAGTCATGCTAGCCACATGACCTTGGAGGTGTCTGCGAACAACACTGGCTCTTCGCCTTAGAAATACAGATGAGCACCACCCCTCAGAGTTGGACACAACTAGACTTAATGTCAGTGGGAAACCTATATTGCAGTTATAACCCACTTCCCTGTTCCAACTTACTACTGACATGCACAGAGTCCAAAGTACTTGTTCATTTATTTATTTGTATTTTATTTACATTCTATTTTTCCCCATATGGGGACCCAAAACAACTACAACGAATAAGCTACATGCATTATTTTTAATTTTTAAATAATTAAAGTATAATTAAGCTACATTACCATTTCATCATGACAATGCATAGCTTCAAGGTTTTTAGACTGTAAAGATCTTTTAATTACTTGCATGGTTATTGTCTAACCATGTTTTATACCAACACTTCTAGCATTTTGGTGGTTCTTATAATATAAACGTACTGTTTACAATATATGATATGTTTCCCCCCCCCCCCCCGCCCCTTAACAGTGTGTTTTCTTTTCCAAATCATCCCTGCTAGCTTGAGCGGGGAAAGAAGCCCTTGCAAGTCAGGAATATTTATTTATTTATGTATTTATTTACTATATTTGTATACCGCCCCTCTCAGCCCGCAGGCGACTCAGGGCGGTTAACAAAGGCAGCAATTCAATGCCAACTGGAGTATAAAACATTTAAAAACATTGACATATAACATAAAGTCATAACAAGGTCAGTTAAAACATAAATCACAAGTGTCTCTTAGTTAAAACGTTGTCCCTTAATCCTATAAAAGCATTTTCACCTGAAATATTTGTTAATATCTATAATATATAGGCATTTCCCCCTGCAAGCCTTTGCAGTCCCCATGCACCTATATATCTTGCAATCTATATACATTTATTTTATATATGAATTTTCTCTTTATGTGTTTGCAGATGTGTTTGCAGATCTTTGCAAATCCTATATACATATAGATATCTAGAGATTTCCATGTACCTGTATATCTGTACCTGTATCTATATGTATACATTGTTTTTATATATGAATTTTCCCCTCACACGTTTGCAAGTCTTTGCAAATCCTATATGGATATAATTATCTATATATAGAGAGATGTTTAGATAGGCACAGTTGGCACACTGGCTTCAGTATATGTCTTACTGTGAGCCACCTGGGGAGAAAAGGCTTACCCTGTTTCATGTCATTCCAAGAATACAAAAGTAGTACCTTAACACTGAAGCAACAGAAGTTTTTACCATACCAATAGACAAACACTTGCTTTCTCTGGTAACCATCAGTGGGGTAGAAAAAAGATATGTGACCGAATTGTGAGGACAGTGGTATGTTGAGCAGAGGGCAAAGTTATTAACTATGCTCCGAACGAAGGGAGGAAACGCACACTTTTCAAAGCACACTTAAACATTCATTACAAAAGGGAAGCACAGCTTGGCATTTAATCAGCCCAACACATGGAGCTGCAGGCTTACTCTAAATGGCCTAATAATCTGATGGAGAAAAATGATGACTTGCAAAGACAGAAGAAATTGTACACCAGGAAATGAGGAGACTATAGAACCCAAGGAGCAAAATTGCTGGTGGGCTTTGGAGCAAAAATGGATTCCTTTTGGGAGGAAACAAAACAGAGCAGAGGCAGAGCAGGTATAATGATAATTAGAGTCCCATTTTTGGAAATAAGACAGGACATGAGGAAAGATGATGGTGATGACAATGATAACAGACTTCTAGGAGAAAAAAAGAACTCATGGCTTGGTTGGTTGGCAAATGATGGAAAACTGTTGTGATACTAGACTAACCCTTGGGTTTCTCTCATCGTAGCTTCACATTAAAAATGTGACTTAAGATGACAGATTGATTGAAATATTGCTCAGAAGATGGCAAGAACATAATTAGAATTCGTTGTAATGACACACTGTCATGAGGATCATCACAGTCACAATATATATATATTTAAAAACAGTTTTAGATAGAGAAGCTTTGCCAATCAAGTTTTCCTCTGAATGCCCAATTGAATTCAGATATTCTGTGTTCGCCATGAAAATGTGATACTATTGTAAAGGAATTCCTAAGGAAAAAAGAAGAAATAGCCTACCTGAACTTCAAGTCACTTGTACGGTTTGAGACAACAAGCACAGAAAGTGTTATATTTTATAGCCAGAATCTAGGACAGTGGTTCTCAACGTATGGGTTCCCAGATGTTTTGGCCTTCAACTCCCAGAAATCCTAACAGGCTGAGCTTTCAGGGAGTTTTAGGCCAAAACATCTGGAGTCTCACAGGTTGAGAACTGCCGGTTCATAGAAGGACATGCAGTCTCGAAGATAGATTGGACCCGAAGCGTATAGGGCTTTATAGGTTATCACCTGTACATAAAACATACCATAAAGAAGGTTCAGTTGGTGGCCAACCTTGCTGATCTCTCTGGGAGGTGAGGAATGCTTCAGATTCTGGGGAAGGACTTTGAATGAACCAATTTAAAAGATACCCATGCAGGACAGGTAATGGCATGGCAACCTGGTAGGCTGCTGTGCATTTTGAAGATTATGGGAAGCAACTCCCTTTATTTTAAGCAAGGAGAAAGCTTGTTCACACTATGTCCTATGACTTCAGCAATGCAACCCCTTGGTAATAATACCTCTGGCAGTATTTCTGCCGTTGGTCTAAAATTTCAAAATTGGTTACCGAGTGTACAGATAATGCCAATTATTAATTTTATAGCACATTATACATTTATCATCGTCCAGTATTATTTCAAGATATCCTCATTTCAGCAAGAACTGAATTTATTGTTGCTATAAGCTCAGAAACCAGAAATGCTTGCTGAGCGATTGCGTGTCACCTGAACATCTATTTGTAGATCCTAATCTGCTTATCACCCACTCTGCAAGACAAAACTCATTACTTCACAAATAAATTGAGAATTTTAGATAGATAGCACCTTTGCTGCTCGGAACATTTGATTATTATTTACCATAAGGTTTTTCTTCTGTGACTTTTCCTGAAGAATCAAATGTGTCTGTTGCCTTTCCCAATTCCCCAACAGCCGTGTATTTCTGTGAAGGAAAAATAATGAGTGTATAACAAAGGTAAAAGGGAGAAACGGGTTTCATCAAGAATATCAATACTGTTAATACTATTCTACTAGGCTATTTGAAGAACGGAAACAGAGGCAAAGAAATTAGCATTAGGATTTAGGACTATTATGTACACATGCTCTTCTGATTTACTGCACTCATAAAAATAGAAGCACACTACTTGGCTATTATGAAAAGTATAAGCCATGAAAGGGTACTAATGTTAGAATATTTTAGTGAAGTACATGGGATTTAACACTGGAATGCTCTCCACCAGTTTCAGTGAGCTTGTCATCAGGAAGGATTGCACAAAGCTATAAAGTTGGAACATTAAAAAAAGGACGGAAGGAGGGAGATGACTTCAGTGCTCTCTGTAAATGCTGTCACCTCTCAGGAGGGAAAAGGAAAGTGAACCTGCAGCAACAGAGACAAGGAAAAGTGGAGGAATATTATCTCTAAATTGAAAGTGAAGCACAGGGATTTCAATCTAAGTGAACACTCTGTGCATCACTGCTTCTCGTTTTTTTTAAACCCTTGCTATTTTTCCCTTAGCCAATACCAAGATTTTTGCATCATTATTGGCAAGAATAGGATGAAGAGAGAGAGAGAGCAAGAAAAGATCCTTTCAGCTGGCCCCTATGGATTGTTTTTAAACTTGAAGATTTCACCAGCAAAGCAGAAAATTATACCTGCCAGTAAAAGTGAACGGAAGTGTGCAAAATACTTTACAGAGCTTGGGAAAGTTACTTTTTGGGCTATAACTCGCAAACAGAATGGCTTCTGGCTATTCTAGCTGGGGCAGTGCAATACAAAGAAGGATTTATCCCAAATTTGAGTAGTTGTTAACTCAAGATTTTGGGGACCTCAGTTATTCCAATAGAGAGAAATCAATGAACATCAAACCTAAAATTGACTGCAGATCATGACTGTTCTGCAAAGCCTCTTTTTCCAGAGACCTTATGTTACTAAATACTATTTGCGATATTCTATATGTAGGAAAGGCCTTTAAACCCCTACTTTTGGGCTGTCTAAAGGGGGCTGAATAGTGACTGAAAGCCAGACATTTGGTCTAATCTAGCAGGATGCTTAAACTCCAATTTATGCTGCTGTTTGTAAGGACTAGGCTAGGTTCCTACTGAGACAGCAAGTATGCTTCATTCCAGGCACAATGGGATGAACAGAAAGGACTGAAGGATATAATAATAATAATAATAATAATAATAATAATAATAATAATAGTTTTATTTCTTGACCACCTCTTCTCACAGCTTGAGGTGGGTTACAGCATCGCCAAAATATAAACAAATACATAATCATTTTAAAACAATCCATAAAATACATATATTAAAATATACCTTCATAAAATATGTATCAAAATACATAAAACAAAAAAAGGCATACAATGGAGTTTATAATTCACCACTGAAACTGCTGGGTAGGCCTGCCGGAAGAAATAAGTATCTTAAATTCCAACAGTCGATTGAGATGTCAGAGCTCTATTGGCAGGTTGTTCCACAGTTCCTGATGACAAGGTCCTCTGGGTGATGGTTGCCAGTCGGGTTTTGGCTAGTTGGCTAGTAGAGATCCAACCTTGAGGTTACTAGTGCGTGCACTACCATCTTCAAGTCCTCCAAATCTAGGAAGGGGTGCAGCTGGCGGATCAGCCGAAGCTAAGAGCAAGCACTCCTGACCATCACATCTACCTAGGCTGACATTTGGAGAGACGGATTCAGGAGCACTCCCAAGCTGCAAACACCATCTTTCAGGGGGAGTGTAACCCCCCTGGTTGACACACCTCCATCCCCAGAATAGGACCTTGGATGGCAAGCACCTCTGTTTTGTCTAGATTCAATTTCAATTTGTTTTCCCTCACCTAGTCCATTACCTCCTCCAGGCATTCATTCAACTAGATACACTATCTTTAGCTGAAGCTGTTTTTGAAAGCATGAAGAAATATATTTGGGTGTCATCAGCATACTGATAACACCCTGTCCCATGCCTATGGATGATCTCTCTCAGCGGTTTCATGTAAATATTAAAAAGCATTGGGGATAGAATGGCACCTTGTGGGATATTATTATTATTATTATTATTATTATTATTATTATTATTATTAAACTTTATTTGTACCCCACTAGCATCTCCCAAAGGGATTCGATGCGGCTTACAACAGGCCGGAGCCCAGCACAATACAATACAACAATACAACAATACAAACAAAGCAAATAAAACAGTTAAAGCAGAGAACAGTGGCAATAAACAATACAACGAGACATATTAAAAAACTGAGCC